AAGGAAGGAAGGAAGGAAGGAAGGAAGGAAGGAAGGAAGGAAGGAAGGAAGGAAGGAAGGAAGGAAGGAGATACAATTTACATTCCAATATTTCAGTTTCTCCTGGATATGGGTGATTTTGAACGTTTTAAAGCTGCCTTCAAGCTACCCTGGCATCCAAGTATATTCGCATCCAGCTGTTCTGGATGTCAGATGTGGGAGGAAAGCTCTGCCCTTTCGAAAAACAGGGAGGAAGTTCAGCCTTTTCTCTGACTTAAGATAGGTGATAGGTAGTTTATTTAACTTTGCTAAGAGAGTGTGGGGATTTCGCATCTGAGCCCTGAAACAGGGATGAGTCCCCCTGGTCTGTCCTTCTTACTTGGGCCCCAACTAGATAGAACAGATAACAGCAGGTACCCAGGCAGGGTCTGTTTGTACCCGTCTTTGAAGCAAAAGAGAACAGATTTGGCTCTTTCAAAAATGCAGTGCCCTATAAAGACAAGATATCCCCTTTCTCCTCCCCACCAGAAAAAGGATGGAGGCTGTTTGTTTTTTGACAGAGGAAAGGATGCCCCAAGCTTTCTCTCCAAATAATTCTTGGCTCGAAGGGCAAGGCCACCCCTGAAACTCGATGACATGAAATCTGCCCAGCCTCTGGATCTCTATTTAGAAAATCTGGACAGAACCAGAATTTTTGCCAAAATCGAGTTTACAGGCAATTTTATGGCAGGATCACTTTGCCCCTGGGCAAATTAAATAGCGGTTTGGTGGTTTACTTGGCGGAGAAGGAGGGAGGGGGAGGACTGATCTCATTTGTTAAAGAGTAAGGTAGCTTTACCCAAATAGTTGCTGAACTCTAAAGTAGGTGTCACCTACTTTGGAGGTGTCACCTGGTCTCAGCAAAGATTTTTTCCCCAGCTGATCATTTCCAGCATCTTTTTTTCTTAATAAGCAGTATCACATTCACCTGCAAGAATATTCAGATGTAACCAAATTCCAGCTCAACGATCTGAAAAGCTGAATTTCAAGAGCTGCGTGGTTTAATTCACATATAAAATTTGGGTCTCATCGCCCTTTCCATTTTAAGAAAGCCTTACTGGTCTCCCCTACACTGCGTTATCTGTCCCAGTTTATTGCACTGGAAACCTTT